CCCCAAGAGATGACCATCCCTACTTGGCTCATATTTAAGTCCAGGCAGGCTCTAAGCTCAGGGCCAAGTTAGAAGGTGAAACAGGGTGCTGGGAGCTCCCTGGAGTGACATCCCCGACCACTTCCCCGACTTTCAAATCCCATAAATCCAGGCCTGCCTTGAAAAGCGGAACTGCATGGTTTGGGGCGGAGGAGGAGAGAAATGCTGAGACCAGAGCCTCTGTCAAACAAACCCATAAACTATAGAGTGCACGGGCCAAGCACACACAACGGGAGCCAAGAGCAGGGGAACAACAGCCCCCATTTATTTAGATTATAATGCAGCAAGGGAAGGCTTGTTTATGACAAAAGGAAAATATGCCTCAGTCAGTCAATCACATGCTCTGGCTGCCTCTAATTGGAAACAGAGGCTTGTGCTCAGTGGAAACTGCCACCTTTGTTCTCCGAATCCGTATTTCAACACCACACCGGGCAGCCTCTCCTCTGGACGGCTTTCCTTAATAGCCAAAGCGCTGAGCAGGCCAGGAGGAAGACAGGTGACCGGACAGGTAGGGAACTTGCTGCCCTGGGCAGACCTGGCAGCTGCTGGAATTATTAAGCTCATGATTAACCCTTCCCCAACACAGTAAGATTCTCCTCATCATCTACCCCGCCCAAAGGAAGGACATTTTCTTCATTTTAGAGACACATCTCCATTCCTGGGTTTCACTAACGCACTGCCATGCAGGCGCTGGGTTAAGTCCCTGCTTCCCCAAATTTCTAATGGGGAGCTGGTAAAGAACAACTCAAGCTGGGTAAAAATGGGATTGAATCTCTTTGCCACGAACCCACAAATGAAAAGGGCTCGCTGACCCCCTTCACCAAGTCAAGTTAGGGCTCTTTTTAACCCCTGCTCAGCTACAGACACGCACACATACACAAAAAAAAAAAGACCCCAAAGCCCCAGCTCCTTCAGACTGTGGTCCTAGGAGGAGCAATCTCAGTGTGTCCTTTGTGTGTAGCTGCCGGGAGCGGAGCTGTTGTAAAAGAATAGCTGGAAAAAAAAAGAATATATGGAAACGAGGCACTTGGTGTGAGCAGCTGCTAACGTGTCTTTTCCAAGGGGTAACGGGTGGACAATTGTTTGAAGAAACAGATACTGAAAATGAACACTGTGACAATATAGCAAAAGAGTCCGAAGTGGCTATTTACAACTCAGCTGTACACAATACCATTGTAACATTTAAGCAATCGCGTGCTTCACACGCTACAGGCAGCTCCGATGACAACTCCCTGGCTCCTCTACCCTGCATGCAGCACAGTTAGTATCTGTGCTCTACTTGTTGCATAAGGCACCAAGGTTTCTGCAATGTGCATCTGGAATGCCTTGGAGGGTCTCAGACTCAGCTCTAGAGAGCCAGAATCATGCTCATCACAGTGCTAAAGAAGCTGCTAGTGCACAGACATGCTTTGGCTATCGCGTCTGTAGGATCCTCCTCACTGTTGAGCTGAGCGGGGAATAGGAAATCGTCATCTATTTCCAAAGATCCTGATGCATTTTCTTACTTCTTCACGATCTCTGATCAAACTGTGCAGTAGGACTGAATCAGTACTGAACTTGTACCAGCGCCTTTCAGCCTGCCAAGAGGAACGCAAGCGTGCAGTGCTGTTTGCATGGTTTATATATGCCATGCGCAGAACCCCATTTCCCGAAGCATTTTTGGGGCTCCAGAGATAGAAGACGACAAAATCCATTTGCAAAAAAACATTTGCAGAATCTCTGCTTCCTCACTGGGGCTCCTTGAATGTCATGATGAGTTCTCTCTGCTCTTTGCTAATGGCCTGGAAGGAAAACAAACAAATATCAAACTCTTTTCACCACAGATGCCAGTGTTTAGAACACAAGGCAGCACTGACATAAAACAGAGCCTCATGTACACCGCTGTCCCCAGCACGTACAGAATACAATCCGTTAATCTTCCTTGTGCGCCCACCCACAAAAGCACCCCACCCAGCACACTCCATTTGGGAGCACGCAGGGGAAAACAGCCAAGACCTCCAGTGAAAATGCCCAGAAAGCCTAGACCTCCCCGGCCGGTTTCTGCAGTCCTTGGCTCCTGGCGAGGCCTTTGATAAGGGCCAGCTTTCAGAAGTCACTCTGCACCCAGCAGCCCAGGCTGGACTTCCTCAGGCCTGAGGTACCAGCCAGGCTGCTCTTCCTCAAACAATTCACATGCCCTTGTCATCCCCTTGCTCTCCATCTCCGAGAGCAGATCCCCGTCACTGCTAGGAGAACTTCACAAGTGAATGAGCAGCACGAGTTTCCTGATCATCTTAAATACGGCACAGTCCTTTGCTGGACAGACTACACAAGACTTTTTCCTTCAGGCTGATGCTGCCTCGGTGCAAAGACACAGGGGGTTTTTACCTGCCAAGCTTGTTTGCGATCTTGTATCAGCTGCTGCAGTTCGGCGATTCTGTCCCTCCCAGCGAGCACGGACTCTGCCAGCTTCTTGTTCTCTTCCTCCTTCTCCTTTAGGACTTTCCGGAGGTAAGCCCTGTGTTTCAGGAGGTACGGCACCATAGCGCTGCAAACGTCTTCCTCTGGGATCCCGCTGGGACGCCTGGGAACGACCAGGGTGTGGAGCGACCAGAGAGCAATAATCTCGCGCAGCAATTATGCTCACACACTCTAATTGGAACTTGAGCCGTTGCCACAATGCATCAACTTGCTGACTCCAGCAATTTACCTTTGGCACTGCCCAAGACCGGATACTTCGGAGGACGGCTATAATGTGAGCATCTAATGGGCACCCCCTCGTGCAGCCCTTAACGAACGGGAGGAGTCCTTCCCGAAACCCTGCAGTCAGTTAAGGCCTTAAGGCAGGGGATATAATTAACTGCCCCAAACACAAAAACACAAAGTCGTTATGATGCTTTCGATTAGAAGACCCAGCCTGCCTTTAGAACAAACGAAAGGCAGCTCACACCACTTCTAGCACCCACCAAGTCCCTGAGCAGCACCTTGCAACAGAAAGCGTCCCTGTGAGCTTCCTATTAGGACAGCGGCTGAGCCTAAAAGGCACGCTGCGCCTTTTGAATTATTCAGCATCATTTTGAGTTTATCTCCCCTCTGGTCCCAGTGGCACTAGACTCCTCCTTGCACAAAGGAAGCGTAACTTTGTGACTTAGAGAAGCACAGGTAAATCTCATTTACAGATGTTTTGGGGACAGTGACGCTGTGGCTAAGACACACGAGGTTTTAAATGCTCCTTTCGAGCGAAGCTTGCAGCACAGGACCCAAACATCACGCAGGAATTGACTGGGGCCCTTGAAGGAATTGGTCTCCGCACACAACCCCTCCAGACTGCTTCCCACAAGACGATCGAGATGTCCCTTACCACGCAGGCTCCTCCTGCTCCTTTGCCTCCTCCACGATCTTATCCAACGAGCTGAAGAGCGCCTCCAGGTTCCCTTCCTCCTTCACCTCCTGAATCTCCTCCTGCGAAGGAAGGACGACACGGGGGTTCAGAAGCACCCAAACGGCACCGACAGGAGCATCGCCGCCGCCAGCCCTCGCCCTTCCCTGACCGAGGCAGCCGCTATTCCGGGGGAGAGGCAGCGGTCTGGGACGACCTCGGGGGTGCACTCTTCGCTTTCCGTTTATTTTTTTCTGCTTGAGAAAAAGCATTTGGCTTCTCTTTCCGCTTCTCCGTCAGGGATATTCGGTGCGTTCGGTCGTCGCGCCCCGAGGCCTCGAGTTCCCCCCCCACCAGGACGCGCTGCCCCGCTCACCTTGATGGAGGCCTGCAGCTGGGAGATGAACTGGTCGTAAATGCTCCTGGTCAGCTCGGGCTGCAGCCGGTAGAAGTGGCGGTAGCAGTTCACA